TAGGCATAATGTCCTGATTTCAAACGTATCCCAAGCCTAATGTACCGGTAACCAGAATTCTCTACAGCAGGGCAATATCTATAGGCATAATGTCCTGAAATTCCAAACGTATCCCAAGCCTATTGCAACCAGAATACATTGAGTTACAAAAATGACCACGCCCATATTTTTTAGACCATGCCAAAATTATAACTTTATGTTCAATTAACAGAACTTCGAATTACGGGCAACATATACGCTGTTTCTAAAACTATGACAACAAACCTAAAAAAGGTTATGAAGATAATAGTTTAAACTGCTGCGCACGATGATGTAGAAACAGAAAATAAGATTATAATAATGTCCCAATAACATGAAGTTACAAAGTAGACAGAAGTGTTTTCTTTAGCAATAGTATCTATTTCTTTCAGTACAATGCATGTTTATTCACACTAGAATCACATGAGATAAAACAAAACAGTAGTTCGTTCAATAAAATATAAAAATGCCCGTGCAATTAAATTCCGACGTATTAAATAATAATAATAATTATCTTTATTGCGTTCGTATCCCTATTAGGATTTTGACTAAAATGCAATACAGATGTGAATAAAGACAAACAAACAATTAAAGTGAGAATAAAAATACACACAAGAAAATAAAAAATAAATAAATAAATAAAAAACAACTAGCAAATAAAAGTAAAAAAAATAAATAATAATGGTAAAGTAAATTGTATGTATAGGCTGCACTCCGTTTCTAGTTATGTATCTTCTCATTATTAGCACGATACGGAAGAAAATACGGCAGGCAAACAAACAAACAATTTCCCCTCCCCTAAAATGGCCCAATTTGAAGAACGCCGCCCAATATGGTAAAACGCAAACCACAAACTAGCCCATAGAAACGACGCAAACATTTATGCCGAGAGGGCCACATATGCGCAATGGTGTTGCGCTAAAAAACAGAAGGAACGTGAACCGAATATAAAAGGCTGTTTCTGATTGGTTGAATCGCGACAATTTGAAATGCGATATTTTTGGACATTTCGTGAGATATTCACAAAACATGACAATACTTACATAGTTTTGATGTGATAATTCTCTTAATGGCTCTTAAGGCAAGTACAATATACATTTATATTAGCATGAAACGGAATAATCGTACGAATACCAACACCCGCCTTCAAAAACGAACCAATTATGAAGACCGTTAGAAAGACGTAAGAACATAATCGGTGACCCAAGTGCGCATGAGCTGCAAGGGAAGCCATTTATATCTTGAAATTTTGCGTGGTGTTATCATCGATAAATTTGAGGAAATTGAGCAAAATTTGTAGTTTAGGGTGGTGATTTTTGGTCAGTGGTGAATCGTGATTTCTCCAAAATTTAAGTAGGTAAGTATAGGAGTTTATTTTCGCAATTTCTTGAAAATTGAGGCCTACTCGGTTGTTTGTTTGGGAGGTGACAGGTTAGTGTATTTTGTTACTTTTGATTTTCCATTCCAAACCTCCAAATCCTTGATATACTTTTCGGTTATTCAGTTACAACGTGACCTCCGACAAAACAAGGTGGTACCTTCCAGGTCAAAGATACTCTGTAGCAGTGGGTGTATCTTTGACCTGGTTGAAAAATATGTAGTTGTGATAGACGGGCGAAATCATTGTTTTTTGGTGTGAATATTTCAATAAAAAGTATCAGTCATACATAGTCTAGGAATGATTAACCTAATCAAATATTTCTTGAACCATGGCCGTCTTGAATTGAATAATATGACAGATCCCCACACCCTCCCCGT